TTCCAATGATCAGCCAGCTGACAATGCCTTGATTCTTTCCCTTAATGAACTATTTGTTGCTTTTCAGGGCTGCATAAGGTCTCATAGTGACATTCTCGAGTCTAAGGTCTGATTCATCCCTCTGAATTGTTTACATTTGTACAAACAGCCAGGTCAAAGCCTTCAGTAAAAAGAAAACAAAGATTTTCATCACTCACACTCACACTCACACTCACACTCACACTCAGTAGTAAGTCAGTGGTCTTGTAAACCATTCTACCTTTTGTATGTCTGTACCTTTGGCGTACAATAATGAACGGAGCAACAATACTTCATTGTGATGTGTAATGCACATAGATACAGACAGCAGAAATTGGTCTGAATTTAAAAAAGGACATGTTGGACTTGCACCATCATTCCAACACCTTTTGCCTTAAACACTCATTGTTTGACTATTTCAGTCAACATATATATTCATTCAATCATTGAAAGCACAGGCAATATTGAATTAATATGGTAGATAAATATGTACCTATAATGGTGGTTGGTTAATAATTTAAATACAAAGCATGTAATGGATTGCGATGAAAGTCAAAGTGTAATTCATGGTTGACTCACAGTATGATGAATCATACTGACTTTTCATCTAGTTTTAAGTTTGTTTATTAGAGCAAAATGCCGTGCCCACTGTTGTATAAGGCTGCCTTGCTGGTTTTCTATCTCTTTTACAGACTGCAAATTAAATTGTTGAAACTATTTATTGTTAAGTTTCAACCCTATTGTAACCTCAATGATCCTGGAACATTTTCTTCTCTTGATTATACCCACACATAAATATTCTGAATCTGAAGAAATGATGGTTACAGCTACATCTTTCATTGCATATTTTCAAACTTGTATCCACAATTGATCTGCAATTGACCTTTTCCCAGTTTCTCATTGACACCCTGCTGTCGCTTCCACAGACTCTTCTTTGAGAATCATTTTTTGTGGAGTGCAAACCCTTAGGGTAATGAGAGCAGTGTAAACCCTAGAAGAAGGGCAACTGTCAGGTGGTAGGGTGATAGGTGACATTGCAGTATAATTAATTGGTGATGCTAGCCCCAGCCTGTCAAAGGGAAGAAATGGCAAGAAGTGTGTTGAGTATTGATGGCATGGCAACGATATAGGAAATGTGTGAAATAGGATAACTAGTGATGTATTGCATGGGGAATGTCACTGGAGATGGTTTGTAATGGTTACAGGAGTCCATTTCATTATACCTGACAGCAGCTGTCAGTTGGTTAGTGAGTACGAATGCAGATCCAGAGATCCTCCTCTCTGCCAGACGAGCACCTGGCAGTTCGTAGTGTGGAGGACGCAGGCACCAGTCTAATGGGTCAAGAATGAGAAGTGAAGGGCAGCTGTAGCAGGTTGGAGTGCCTCAGTGGTAGGGAGACAAATCTCAATGGAGCAGAGTGGGCTGTGTGATAAGAATGTCCACTGAGATGGTGGTACGATGTTAGGATTTTTGGAAAGAAATAAAAGACGCAACACAAAGCTGAGGTTAAGTCAATCAAGTTTATATTTTCAAAACTGTAAGGTAATAAGCACAGTCGATAGGTTGCATCCTTATGTCAGGGTGGAGATTATCAAAGTTTAGAGAAAAAATAAAGAACAAAAGTCATAGGTTAGTGGAGTAATTTAAGGGTTTACAGGAAGAATAGTGTTGACCCTGCTGGAGGAAGGCACGCTGTTGGACTTTATCTGTAGAGTTTGGAGAGAACAAGTCTGAGTCACAACAACATGTATTTAATAATGAGCGTAGGGCTGGCGTCTCAATCATAGTACACAGAATCCAACAGACTTAATCTGAGACATCCAGACTCCCAGCTTCAGCCTATACTCTCAGACTCGGTAGGAATTCCAATTGGAATTCATAATAAATACCACCAGAAGGCCTCAGACTATACTAAAGAATGCATGCAAAACTTCTTTCAGAGTTCTATCCGAAGATGCTATTATTGTTTCCATGTAATTGCAGATGGGAATTCATTGTTTTGGAATGGCATGGGTTTTTAATGGCTTGTCTTAAACCTTAAATATGGCTCATGGAATTTCTCAGTGGAAAGGAATTCAGATGCAAGCAAGGAACACTTGTGCAGTGCTTCTCTGTTCTTCATATTGACAGAATCATTAAATAAGTCTGCATTTCCTTTTGCTTTTTCTCTGTCCACAAATATAAGGTTAAGATAAGGAGGGCCATTGTTAATTTCAAAATGATTTTGTTATAGAGAAGGGTCAGTTTGGTGCATGATGTTCATATTACTTATTAAAAAAGAAATAGGGATAGGACTGCAGGTGATGCTTGAATGGATGGTCAAAAGGGACACTGCTATGTCTCTGCATAAAATGCAAAATAAAAGTGAAGAAGAGTTTCTGACAAAGTTCTAAGGATCACTTATACTTTGGACCGGCATTAAAATGACAAAGGTAACCAATGTTCCTATTGTGCGTTGATGTGAGTGGATTTAATGGAAATGCCTAGAAAAAAACGTATTCACTTGCTTGTAACAAGATCAAGTTTGTGAGGACAAAGTGAAGCAACTGATGACCTATCAACCAATCACAGCAGAGCTTACGGCAGAGCCTCCCCCCTCCCTCCCCTCTGGACCTTACATTCTAGCAATCTTGTTGAGCATATTCCTTGGCATTGATGGCGTCTACCATACAGTAATTCCATGCCAAATAGAGGAAAGATAAGGGATGTTGATTGAACTGCCGACTTTTATAAATGTGGCACTGCATTTCCAAAAGCATCCTGTAGCATCTCATCCAGATCCATTATCAATGATCTCAGCTTCTTAGAGAAATCACCAAGATGGGAGGTAGGGGACATGAGCAAACCTTTGGTGACTTCACCGTCCTTATCAGGCTAACCAGAACAGGCAGGAGAGAGCTGTTTTCTCTTTCTTTCCAAGGTTAGTGTCACAGAAGGTTCTTGGTTAGGTTAAGGGATACAACGCGGCAGAGTTTGGGGGAGGTGAGTTTAGGGCCGGTATTAACCAGCCCTTCCATTTTGTCAGGTAATCCCAAAAGGGCTGAGGCAGGGAAGAGTGTAGAGAGGAATTGGTTATCAGCTGGTTGATGTAGAGGCTGTGATGTTCTGTCTTTGTTGTGCTTATGTGTAATACGTTATCAATGCATTTGATCCCTTTCAGTCCACAGGCTTTGCTAAGACAGGCATTTAGTCAAAAGTCAATTTGCCAAGACACGTATTTAGTCAAAAGTCAATTAAAAAACAAATGGTCATCCGGGTGGATAAGGCCAGTTAACTGTTCAATGAGAAATCCGCTCAGATATTTTCTTTTTGCGTCACAGCATAGCACCTAGGATGTAGTATGTTTTAATTGGCTTACCCTATTTCATAGCAGCATCTCTCACAACCATAATTATTTTTTGTCCATATTTATCAGGACCCATACTAAATTAATGGTTCGGACCTCTTAATTAGCTTTAGCTCATTAGCTTTTCTAAGGTTACGGTGGCCTGTGTTCATGTTCGGCCTTTCAACTGGGTGGTTACATTTGGCTGAGCTCACGCCTAAAATCTGGCGCTTGAGGACAGTTTTGCATTTGTCTTGGTTTTATATTATCTCAGCAGGTAGAAATCCCATCACCACACATGACTGTACTGTTTCAGTGACTCCGGGGAAAGTTATGGTGCCATTTAAGGTTGACTGTTCATCTCAATCATGTCAAGTTGAGCTCTGCTGAGCAAGCTCTATGGCAGGAGAGATTGGGAAAGTGTCGTGTAGTTAAGTCAAGTCTCCTCCTGTGCAAATATTCTAGTTTTGAGTAACTTTTGTAAGCCAGTAGTCCAGCTGTCTGTGCTCTACATTGATGTGAAAGAGCACAGAGGCATGATATGGTCAGTTGAACTTAATAATTGCAACCCAGAGTGTCAGTCACAAGATAACGTCCAATCCTCGAAATGATTTAGTTGTGACAGGGAACCACCTTATAAGCACTGTGATAAAAATGGAAAACTAAAGCAAAGCAGGAAAAATAGGCACTTCTATCTTTTTAAACATAGATAAAACATTGACATTTATTGATGTATATTGTTTGGCGATCACATTATCATTAAAACCATGTAAAGATGCAGTATTTAAATTCTGATGAAAGATATGCTTTTATGTTGTACATCTACTGAGATGTATTGAACTCATTTACAAACATATGGCTTTTTAAGGAAGATATGTAGATGAGAAAGCATCACCGTGCCCTTATTCTTACATCAAATGTTTACAATGCTTAGACTTTCCTTGTAACCTGGGCATATCGCCAATGCACAGTTCTCTCGCTTTGCTTTAATTAGGGTGCAAATTATATCTGAGGAGATTCATAAGTACAGCAAGTGGGCAAGACAAATTGCCTAGGATATGTCACATTAACATGTAATAAGACAGAACTAAGTATTCTCTAATTAGGTTGCCCTTTCAGAAAGGGGAGCATGTCTGTGATCCTGTGGAATAAGACAAATTGTCTGAGAGCATTTGAAGCTTTTTAGGGCTCTGACACATTTGGCATAGAACTTTTTTACAGTTCATTATGTTGAAAAATTATACTAAACGGTATGATGCGTAATGCAAATTATGTTTCTTATGCCTAATTGTATTACAGATTCTACTGGATACTGCATTACTTTTTAATAGGGATCTGCTCATTAGGGATGTTCCGATTAAATCATTTTGTATTCTATAAATCATTCAATAATCTCTATCCAATATTCCTTTTTCCCTTCACTTCACACTTCGAAGTCCATTATATTCTGTTAATATAAATCCAATTAAAATGCCAGACAACCCTCTTTGTGGATTACTTATTTTCTTTTAAAACTGCCCTCTAGTATTACTCACTTCATTTTGATTTGTGTTAAAGCAATGTTTGTATATTCCCATAAACCAGTCAGATGAGTAAAACTAGACGCAACGACAGAACAATACGAAAGCCAGACCAATGAATCACACATGAGCATGATGGAGAAGAGTCACCTTCAGTTTTAATTAGTCCAGCAGCCAATTTTAAAACAGAGATAGAAAAAGATGGACTCTACTAATACTGACATTTGACAAAAGGAGTGAAGAGACAACTCACTTCAAAGTTTGTTGATTCACTTACATGTTATTCTGGGATCCAAAATGTCATACACAGTATTTTAAGATGTTAACTATATTAACCGATCTCCACCTAGACCATACAAACTGTAAACTGGACTCATTTTTATGGAACATTGTAAATGAACATACATTTTTTTAAGTGATTGTCGATTGATTTTCTTGATGATCAATGTTTCGTTAGTGTTGAATGCGACTTAATTCCTTTTTTTCAATATGTAGTATCAGTAGTAGTTTAAAAAGTCTACTCTCTGTAAGGTATGCAACTGAATCAAAGGGAAGGGGGGGGGGTCGCATAAATAATAAGATTAACATAAGAAGGGAACATTTATGGGCTGACACAAATCATAAACCAAAATCAACATACAGAAACAAACCCAAAATCCAACTTCAAGAAAAACACAATAATATTAAACTGACATGTCTCCAGAGGTATTAGTATTAGTTATCTACACACTTTCATTTCAGATCAGACACACATGCCTCCTCTTCAAAAATGTCATGCATGGATCTGGTTTCTGGAGACAAAAAAAAAACTACAAACAAAACCAAACCAAACCGCACTTTACAAAATATTACTATACATATAATACCTCCAGATCAAACTCTGAATTTATATACAATAAAAAAGTTATTTTATCTCTTCTCTCCTAGAATCTATAACTGCGGACATGTGGTACAGAGCAACTCTTAAAAAAACCAAACAAAGCGCAAAAAAGTACAACAAATACAACATTAAAACAAGATGAGTAAATAAAGATAAATAAAGAAAAACAAAGTACATGGCGCATAGAAAACGGAAATTGAACCTCAATTAAAGACAAGCAACGTAAATTTAAGTTAAGCAACAATATCAAATTCACATTTTCCGCTTCATAACTATGCTGTGGGGTTGTGGCAAATCATGTCCCGTCATGGTCCGTTGCATGACCCTTTCTGACAACTGTCATGGAAACAAGAAAGGCTGAATGCACTATCCTGTTGTCATGATAAGCAGTCCAACAGCAGGCCCCTTCAGTTTTTTGCGACCATTTTTCTTTTCCCACCGCCAACCCTCATCCCCAACTGATTCTGAAGGCATTCAGGTGAGTTTCTCATTAGTTCATTGAAAACACCCAGCATCCCCTATACAATGTTCTTAATTGCATTCTCATTAAGCTTGTCCATGTAGTCCCTAAGTTCCTTTGAGTCCCCAAGCTCAATGTCCGGACATACCCATTTTATCTCACTGGTCTGCATTAGTGCTAATGGGCTGAGCACAGGACAACCATTACTGGACCTGACATTGGAAAAGGTTGTGAACTTCACCCTCTTTCTCTTGGTGGTGGGTGAGTTAAGGGATTCATTCCTGTGATCCCTCCCACTCAAACTACAGCCTCCCACACTGGTATTTCCACACTGGATACTTCCATTCAATAGTTGACTCCCCTCCTCTAGGGTAGCGCCCAGCTCGTCCTGCTGCTGCTGCTGCTGCAGACAGAGCCCCTCGTCCTGGCCCAGCCAAACCCAGTCGTGAGCATGGGGCATTGTCTCCGTGGTCTCCAGGGTCAGCTGCTTGCTACGGTACTTGTATGCATAAGATATGCAGTTAATGAGAAAAACCAGGATAGCAAGGCAGAAGACTCCAAGTAGAGCATACATCCCGATCTCCAGGTCTGTCAGTCCTCGTCGGGTAGGTAACAAGTCGTCCACGGTGCTGCGGCTACGAGGCAGCTCTGCCTGGTCTGGGAATTCTGAGAATTCGTTTGGGACCCTGGCCCCGCTGTCTGCTGATAGACGGCCTCCATTAGGTCTCACTGGGACATGGCCCTTGATTGTTGTGGCGCCGCGGTTGACCAACCCAGTTTCCATGTCTGAGATAGATCCGCCATAATATGGAGGATCTGGACGTGTACGCCGGTCTCCTGGTTGTCTGTATTGCCCCTCCGGTTGACCAAACCTTGTCTGTATGTTTGCCATTCCACTGGCTAAGATAGTACGTCGTTTTCCCTTCTGGCACAACTCTGACGGGCTCATTTCAACGCGCACAAGCAAACCCTGTCCTTCCCCCTTGGCAACAATGATGGGCCACTTCCACGCCGCATTGCGTCGCACCGCCACCACCCGTTCATCCAAAGAGGTGGCAGTCAGAATAAAATGGGAAGGGTTATAGTTGTCCAGAGCAGTCATGGATCCATCACTGAACTGAAGCCAAGCACTAATGAGGGACTCCTAAGGAAATACACACACAAACAGAATTTGTATTCACTAAAACAGAGAAAATAACCCTGTAAATATAATAACAGTAATCGGCTCATTTTAATGCATAATAATGACTAGAGAAAACTGAGAGGCAAAATAAAGCATTAATTACAGTAGAAAGGCTCACGGAAACAACTGGATATGGAGCCATTATCCTGAAAGCTAAATATGCTTTTCTCTAAAAGGGAAGAGACGGTAGACCTTTTCCATTTGAAATTCTAATTACAGGAATAACAGAACTGTTCAGTGGTTGGATTTGGAAATCAAAGAGATGGCTTTACTATATCAAGAAGGAAATAATTAGAAAGGAAAAATTGCATATGCTCCACAAAATCAGTTTCAGCCATGGGTTTATAAACTCAATACAATGCAAAGTGCAGTGCTAATACGGTTAAGATTAGATTTTCCCTTATTTGGATGCGTTTGATTCGTACCTGTTTGAGCGAGTCGATGACTTCCTGTGTGGTTGCAGTGGCGACAATGGCCCTGTTGCTCCCTGGGCTGAGCTGCAGGGACAAAGAGAGTCCAGAAACCAACTGCACCCCCAGCTCCGTCACACTCACTTTGTCATCCAGCACCCTGATACTCCTCTCAGCCAGGACCGATGATGTCAGAGGGGACAGCACCTGCAACAAACAAATCAACTTGCTACTCGGTGGAACATTAAGAACCAGGATGACATTGTTACTATGAATGAAGAGGAAGAGACAATTTTCTAGCAGCTAATGTTGTTGACAATGATGTCCCTACAGATGATGGAATGTCCTGTCCAGGAGCCTTCCAAGCCAAAGACTGCACTTTTATATTGTGTTTTATCAAAAGTTGCCTTTGCAGTTGCTTCTTCAAATTCAGTCAAACTCACTGAGTTTCAGTGGTTCGCAATATGGAAACAGGCTTAAACTTTAACTTATGCTCAACAAGTCAAACACTATTTGACATTAAAGTCAAACATTATTTATCTTAACCGTTTAAAAACAGTTACAAATGGCTGTTGCAAAATACGTTTTATAATTTGACAAGGCTATGTATTTCGATATTTTCAGATACTAGATTATTCCCATTAGCCAAGACTAATACTTTTTGATTTCTTTACTATACCTCCCTATTCTTGTTTGTTTTCTGGATCAATCAAAAATGTAAATACAATTAAAGTTGCATTTCCTCTGTATTCTACACTCACTAAATTAAGTTACAAATCCACATGCACATCACCTCTGCATTGTGATTACCAAACGCACCGAACATAAAACACTCCTAAACTCACATGCAAACATATTATCTCCACCGCACAGATCTCCATCTCCCTGAGTTGCCAGAGGCGTAAGAATGTAAATAGTTGTGATATTGTTATGTGATGAGAATCCCTCCCATCCGCTCCAATTAGGGCTCCAGTCTCTCCTGCATCCGCCCCCTGCATTTACCAGCCGTAATGAACCGTCAGCACTGATAACTGCCTCATTTTACAGACCCCTTTTCCCTGTTTTCATCCCTTTGGTTTACCTCTTGTTTTCCCCCTTTTGCCTCCCACACAGTGAAACTGATGATCTTGAATGTTAAACAACGCTTAAATCAGTGTTGTCTCATAAAATGGGAAATTTGGTTTAACCTCATCTCTGGGATGAATGTAAAGGTTAAAAAGATAGACTGGTGGTGATTATCACTCTTAAAAATAAGCATGTACACTGATGGTCTGGAAGTTTTTTGTACTGATAAAAGTAGAGCATAATAAGCTGTGACACGGAGCGTTCATCAGAAACTAATGGGCTATAGTTAGAAATCATGGGCATAATCACTGCTGCTCTTCTGCTAAAGGTTATACTTAAACCAGCAGCATATTTGCTCCACCTTTGGCTGTGTAGATTCACATCATTATCGGTTAGTGACATCTGGCTGCATTATCTAGCCGAATACAACATATGCTATATTCTTTGCTCAGCCACCACTAAGGCTTAAGAACCTTAGAAATATATGCAGGTAAATGGGTGTAAACTTCAATAAGGTATTTTAAACTTATTTTTTGGTGCTTTTTTTGTTGTATTTTCTTGGTCAATTCGAACTTCTGATATTTTAAGAACTACAACGGACAACATTCACCTAAAACTGTAAACGGTATTTATTTACCTATTTATTTATAGAAAAACCATTTCTGAATCAGTATGTTTTTACATAATGTGAAGGTGTTTGTATTATACGTATATATAGTAACTGTAAATTGCCTGCCAACACCTACTGACTGCGTATGGAGCAAGAGTTAGAAACCCAATGCTGTTGGCAGAACAGATCACTGCAAATACTCTAAACAGCATTGGCAATGATTTCAACACATGGTACACATGGTACACATTTTACCCCATGGTTTACAGATGGTCTGAAGAAATTGCCAAATTTGTTGTTCACTTCCTTTATGCTGTAATAGTCGGCAAAGTTGCAAAATAAACTGGTGCAACCAACAATGTGTTTGACATTTGTTTCATGTCCTGTCTGTTTCTTTTATGTATTTATGCTATGTTTTCATACAGTTGTTGATGTACAACACTTTGTTCAACTCTGATGTTTTTAAATGTGCTATAGAAATGACATGGATTGGAATGTAACATATAACCCAGCACTTCCTAGACCTATTTCTCTTCGACTCTTCTGTAGAGTTAAATGGCAAAATGTGTTTTGCATGCAGAAAGTCTATCCATAACATGTCAGAAAGATGGTGCTTGAATGAATTCTTTCATTTCTGCTCGGACACCATTGAACTTGCAGCACAGTATATTAATGATCACATTACCAATTCTATGGCCACTATGGAATCTTTTAATACCTCAGTGGCCTTTTGAAATCCTTTGCTGTCATTTAATTGTCAAGTCCAAGTCCTTCATTGTAATTCTGAACAGTTTGATCAAAAATAAAACTCCTAATGCGTTCTGTATTCAAAGCCCTTTGAAATTGGTGAATGGAGTGTATTAGCACTATGTTTAATGGATAATTGAGCAATGGCTCCTTCCATATATTTTTAGAGAAACAAGCTCTCAATATCACATAATCCTTCAATGTCCACATTAGCTTATGGATTGTCTGTAAACCAGTACATTAACAAACAATAGGCATACTCTATATTGTTGAAATCAGTCCACACATGCAAAACCATTAGCACCAAAAAGGTAAAAACAATAGTTTGGTATACAAAATGGATCTCATTAACTCAATTGTTTGATTTCTAAAATGTCGCAGCTTGGACTTAAAGCACTTGAGATATTTTCCTAATTGGCTTCCGAATACAAATAATAGTAAATCAAAAACATGTTCTCCATAGTTCTCCAAAAACATTGTGTAACTGTTACTGCATTGTTCATTATTTGCTGATTAAATTAGTTATCCTGGGAAATCCTCAGCCCATAAGTTGCTGAAAGGCCAATGTGTACCTGTTTTGGAACCGCAGTATCTTTCAAAAAGACTGATTAAGATGCCTAGAAGGAGCCAATAAAGGATGGTATGAAGCTGTCCTTCACATTGACTGTGAAAAAGATTCTAGTAAAACAAAAAAAGAGTTCACGGCAACATGGTGATAAATGGCTTGTGTTGTTCTTAGGAACATTAGGATTGCCACCGGAATACGGAAACCTGGTGGTTCATTGAGATCATGCTTTGCTTTCTCAAGAGTTTACATGTTTTTACTGGATTAAGCCCAGAAGCGTTGTCTTAAATCAAGTGAATGTTTTCCTTCAGAATGATTTAACCTTTTCCACAGACTACCTGACCAGCATACCAAAGACTACGCTAACATAACTAATGCTTTGAGAAAAACATGTTGATATAATAGAAGAAACATTATATCCTATTCCTTCTGTGGTATAATTAACCTTTTAGTTCACAGACAGAGTTTGCATTTTAATGGGGAAATACTGTCACTTTTTATAGATAAAGGAAATCATCATTACCTGAGGGAGAGCTAGAACAAGCTGCTCTGTAAATAAAGCTGTGTATTATAGCAATGGCTTTAAATCCAATGTAATTGTACATATTTCTCTTTCAGTGATAATGCTTGGATTTCTGCATAAGCAATCTGAGAGCACTTGTTCTGCAAGGTTGACCTTAAATGTGACTGAATTAAACAGATGTCATAGTCTTTTTAATGTAGTTGTCAATGCATTGTTTGTCTTTGGCTTACTGCTATGAAAAACCAAGTAGCTTCTGCCACCATAGCCAGCATATAAGCGAGTATATAGCCACAAGTATAAAGGAAAACAAGCAATTGCCATTAGTGACATAACATCTACACAGATCAGACAAATGCAAATATACCACATTATAACTTTGAACCAATTTAAAAAGGCACACATTTTTAGTTCCTCCTTCTTTCCATTTCATCAGTATCAGTCTTAACACTCAATCCTAAATATCTTTTCATTTAGTTTTCCTTCTATTTAAACCATGTCCCTCACTCATGTAATCACTCCTGCAGTGCACTAAGCTCTACAATTGATTAATAAAAAAAACGAGATTATGATTCCACTCCACCGCTTTCACACAGTGTTGTTCTCTGTTGTGCTATCTTGTAAATGCCAGATAGGTGTTGATTTACGGTGCGAGCGGGCACGCGTGTTGTCCTGAGCTAACACCTGGTTGTAGTATTACAGAAATAGGAGAGAATGGGAGTGTTTGTGTGGGCGTAGGTAGAGTGAAATAGAGGCTGAAGAGGGGCAAGCTGTCATTAGACTGGCCTTGATGCTATGTTTCCCTGTCAGCTCAAGATAGGCTTAAGTATTTGTGCTATGCTGCGATCGATGTTGTTTTTGTACTTTCTTACCTTTCCATGGCCAAACATGTCTTCTTTCCCCTCTATATTACTTCCAATGGCTTATGTTGCTTTTATTTTCTTTCTGTACTATCTAGTTTTTTTGTTTTATGCCTCCAGCAGAAACAGAGCAACATTTGCACTCATCAGAGTTTTGTTTATGGCTAAAATTCCTTTCACCTTGATGCTCCATGATCACAAGTCAGTTCATTAGCTTTTGCTGTTGATCCTGGACAGGCAGTAAACAGATTGAAATGCTGAAAACAAGAGTTAAGAGTCACATTTGCGAACTCAACCACCACAACATTTTAGAAAGTCTTAAAGCCTCTATGAGCTACCATCTATAAGTTACACATTTGTTCAATTGCTCAAGGACATTTTGATTTGTGGAGCTTCTCCTTTCCTTTTGGATTGTTTAATATCCTGTTTTGAACAGAAAATAATTTTCTCAATGCATTTGCCTACTTCCTCTGCAATGCCTCCCATATCCTTTTTCTACACCAACTCAATGACTGTTTCTTAGTGGAAAAAACATACCAGGCGCATAAGAGCTTTGAGGCCGCATAAAAATTGAGGACGTTGGATTCAGAAAAATGCCACAAATGCCATGTTATTCTGAGTTGACTTAGGAATAGACCAAGTTTATTTGTATTAATTGCACGTTTAGTTTTGCTGCTCGCAAAAGCTATAGTGCAAGGTTCTTTGTCGACTGAAATGTATGTTGACACAACAGATGTGTCAGTCAATACTGATTGCTAAGGGCTCCCCTATCCGAAAAAAACAACCTCAAACAGTCTAAAAACTGAGGAAAAGTGAAACAAAATGGCAGTGTGCTTATCAGGCAAACAAAACACACACACTCAACACACACCTGTAGTTTGGTGATCCCAGGGCTCAGTCCTATAAGGACTTGGCCATCCAGCAGTTGTGCGACCTTCGGGACCTCCACCCTCAGAGAGTCCTTGACCAGTTGTGTGACCTCCACCTGCCAGTCGCTGCCCAGCAGGAAGTTCTGCTGGCCCTGCCCCTCCTCCTCCGTGACCCCTTTAACTTCTCCCGTATCTGCTATAAAGTGTGTGAGGACGCGCAGGGTGGTGCTCTGATACTGCGCCACACAGCCGCTGTCTGTCCTCCCGCCAGCTGCATCATCGTCTTCCTCTCTGTCGTCAGTGACTCTCTCATACCTGCATCAATGGGAAAGAGTACATAATCAATGAGAATAAAGGATTGATCGATTACTTCTGAAAGAGGCAGAAAGTATACTTGTTCCTGAATAAAAAAGTAAGGAACACACTTATCTGTATAGGAAAACAAAACTGAAGGTCATCACCAGCATAATTCAACTTTTTTTAAATCTCAATTCACTTTAGTCCCAGTTTTCATTATCACCATTAATGGCCATGAAGTGCGAACCCTCTGATGTATTTACTGCAGCCGATGCCTCCACTGTGCTGCAGGTTTACTCGACCTCCTGAAAGTCATATGCTCCCAGTGTTTTCAAAAATCCATTAAAAACAGCTTGCAGAGACAAACTGCTTTGTTTTCTCATTTTCTTTCAAAGGGCAACTGATATTTTGCTGTATGTCTGCCATTTATTTAGCCCACGGCAAACGCTTTGCAGATCTCTGAAAGATATGTTTTGTAACAAATAAATGCAAACCCAGTCTGGGAATTTTGTGACACTTTTGTTTTCCTCTTATTTAAGTCACATTTTACAAGGCCTTTTATCACTTTTACAGAGCCACATTAGAGTTGGGAAGGTCGCAAAGGAAGGACACGGTTGGAAATTGGATAAATCCTGCAAAGAATAACAAAAGAGGGCTAAGTGTTTCCATCTGCGATCTAATCAGACATCCAAACATTGATAGAAATAGACAGCTTGGTACAATTTAAAGTGGACCTATCATGCTATATTTGAAACATATTTTGTAGGGCCATACCTATACAAAACATGTTTGTGAAGTTTTTTTTTCAAAATACCAAACAGTTCACCCATTGTAGCCATGCCTCATACTGCTCAAACCCCTCTTTTGAAGCCCTGTTAGAGAAAGGCGGATCTTGGGTCCTTAGCTTGAAAAAAAGAAAAGGAGAGGAGGCGGAGCTAATGCCTGATCAGAATTCTACCGGAGATAAAGTTAAATGTGGTTGTGATAAAATGCCATCCTGTTTAAACCACGTCAAGGATTATTTCTGAAATAGTATGGAGCTCAAATGCTTTTTCTCTTGCGGGTTTATCACAAGGCGAGTTCTTTTTTTATTTCCTGCTTTTTAAACACATGTGCTCTTCAGTACAGGTTAGCTCTGAGTGTTAGCGAGGCTTGCTAATGTAAACAAAGACGTCAGGCATTGTTTCTGATAGCAACTTTCTGTGGGTACGCCGCCGGTATTACGTCACAGCGGATGCAAATCTGTATCCGCTCGTTGTATACCCGTTTTTAAAAGATTTGGGTACGGAGGAAAAGAGAGAGGGTTTTATTTTCTGACACTGCGTGAGTTCCCCGACGCACCGGGGACACATATGTATGTATAAAAGACATCACAAAGTGCATTTTGCACGATAGGTCCCCTTTAAAGTAAAAACTGTTTCAATGCCATTACTAGGCAAAATGTACATAGCAAATGTTTCAAACCAGTTTAACTGCACTTATAACATTACAAAACTCAATGGGATAGATAAGAACAGTTGATATCCTACTTTGCTATATTAAGGATCAAATTGATTCTGTTCGTCTAGTATTTTCTAAGTGGGTTGTCCTAAATCAAAAGTATAATGTACTTCCCATAGGTTGTAGGTTCCAAATATTTTCAAAAATACATAAAAAACACTTGTAGACAGAAATTGCTTCCTCAATCATATCCAGCAACAACAGAGTGTATTTCTCGGTCTCAATGCTAAACCATCTGAGCTGCAGTGACGGGTGAAATGTGGCCTTGGGACACAGATCTACTCTAAAGAGTAAACCTTGTTGACGATGAAAAAAAACATTGCTGTAACTGTTAGCCGTAAAACTTCGCTCTTATCCATCCACAACCTGCATCGATCTTTATTACCACAACGGTCTATTTTGCTCTCCTGTGCATTGCCATTGTCATATCTCTTCCATGGCTGACTCTCACTCTATATTTTCGACATTATTTTCTAACTTGACTTTCCTGCAATCTATTTTTCAACTCCCTCAGTCTGCATTTCTCACCTGTATCCTCTGTCCCTCTTCCAGCTCAGCCTGTATCTACCTCTCTTACAGTCATGTGGCCAGGGGGGGAGTGACAGTGACAGTTTACATTAGGTTTAATGAGGCATGGCCGGTCAGGCAGAAAACGGGCTGACAGGTTAACATGCTGTGGCCCAATGGCTTGGCTTAGTTCCTAACCTGCCTTTCATCCCCTCCCCTTCCCTTCCTCCCCGTCAGCTGAGGGATGGCGGGCTAAACCAAGGTGACATTTTTGGCTGGCAACAGAAACATGAGGTCAGGTCATGTTTGTCGCGGTGAGTGACAGGTCAGCCAAGGTGTTGCCGTGCAAAAAGGTGATGAATGTGAATGGGTCTCCACGCACACAATGATAAGCAATGCCAAGAAACATTTTATTTTTCTTCATTGTGCCTTTGGTGTCTCCACCTCGTTCATATCGTGCATTTTTTATGAAGTGATGCACTTGACAGGCCTGACTGATGGGATCAGGCATGGACAGCAGGGGGTATTTGTATTACAGTGCCACCCTGTGGAGTCTAGGAAATTGGAAAATATCACTGCAGTGACTTTGATCTAGCATAGTAAAAAGATGTTTCCAGTAAAGAGGTTCTGTGCATATAAAGAGTTATTAAAGCAGTTATTTCCATAACATCAACTGTGAGTGTTAATTTGCCCGGCCTATTAAAAATCAGATTTCTTCACACAGCCTTATCCATCAATCCCAGGATTGTTTCCATTTATTGCATAAATAGTACAAATTGGAACTTCACGTTCTAACTTATTGCTCATTTTAATGCTATCAATAATGGGACCTGTATGCCAAAGACGACATCACGTAATTACCGTTTTCATTTCACAGTAGGAATTGTGCATGAATGTAATATCCTGGCTCTAATAAACTGGGTATGGAACAATTTAATTCCTTTTTTAAATCACAAAAACTGTGCTTTGTGACTTCACCGTAGTTACTGTCTAAGATCACAGTGAATACTAATTTGTAAAAAATGCTATTAATAAATATAAATGAGTAAGTGTCCCTCAGTGATCATGTATTTTTATCATGAGGGTTATTTCTTAATTTAATAAAATGTATTCATAGTTCAAGAAAATATTTGTATTAAAACTCCCTGCACACTTTGTCCCTTTTCAGCTTTAGGAATTTTGTCCATGATCTGTAACGCTCCAAATTATAACTCATTTCTTATTCGGTTCTTTTTGGCGGATAATATTCGACACTCGTTACACCACCTTTGCAGCTGAACCTGCATCTTACAGTATGTCTCATATGTCACCACCTTTCAAATCCAATTTAATGCAGCCTTCATTCATTTAACCAAGTGTCGAATGGGATTCTCATTCAGGCAGGGTTTGTTAAGAAAAATCTCCTAGGTTAATTACCTAAATAAAGAAATTCAGGATATGACCTTGGACTATTTTAATATGGCCAAGTTGTGCGTTTAAATATAAGTTACTGGGAGAAAGCTTTTCTATTAAGGAAGGACCTTGTTCAATAGTTTAGTATTGGTTTAAGTAGCAAACCATTTAGCTGTGAATGTAGTGCTACAGTTACATTGAATAGGTGTAACATGTAGCCGAATACAGTGATGGAATATAACTAAGTATATTTTACTGAATGCTGTACTTGCATAACATTTGAAGTTACGTGTACTTTACTTGAGTGATTTTATTTAATGCTGTTTTTTATACTTAATATTGAAAGCCAGTATTGAACCTTTGTATTCATAACTATTATTTGACAACTTTAGATTCAGATTATTAGCTAATACAAAATATAAATCAACTAACAAGCCAACATTTATATAAAAGTTAACATATCCAGCAGCAATCATTACATTTTTTAAATTAACTCCACCTTTACCGGGTGTAATGGAGACATTTATACTTATCATAAACCATGAATTGCATTTATATTATTATGAAATGGGCCATAACCATTTTGTACTTAGAGTTCTAAGTACTGGAGTAATGGCATCAGAAATACTTCAGTAAGATTTTAAAGGCAGGACTTTAACTTATAACAGAGTATTTTTACACTGTGGTATTGCTACTTATTCCACCACTGACAGTTTATGTGCCACTGGCCTTACCTCCGGTTGCCTGTACTAGCGGGGACCCTCCAGCCTTTGATCTGGCTGAGCTCGGGGTCGGCCACATCGATGAGGAGGGGCAGGCGGGGCATCCACACGCTCATCTCCAGCTGGGCGCTGAGGAAACTGTACGTAAAGTTGAGCATCACCCTGGTCCTTCCTCTTGTCTCCTTACCGTTGACATACACATAGTCACATCGCTCTGACACCTAGAGAGAAAAGGGGAAGATTAGACCAGCAGAAGCATAATAGCCAAACCTAAAAAGATACAGAAACAAGCTAATTATTTAATAACAGCTTCTTAAAATGTATTCTTTATAACAAATGTGTGTTTCTATATGTGTAGTGGACAAAATATATCATTTGGAATGCTTTAAGGAAGATCAAGGTGTTCTTTTGGTCTTTTTAAATGCTGGATGGTGGAAGAAATTGCCACTGCTTTAATGAGTCCTGGAAGTCTCGAACATCTGCTGGCTTTCCTGTGTGTGTGTGTGTGTGTGTGTGTGTGTGTGTGTGTGTGTGTGTGTGTGTGTGTGTGTGTGTGTGTGTGTGTGTGTGTGTGTGTGTGTGTGTGTGTGTGTGTGTGTGTGTGTGTGTGTGTGTGTGTGTGTGTGTGTGTGTGTGTTTGAATGTAAGCAGATGCATCTTTATTGCACTTGCACACAGGACAATGTGTGCAACTAATGTGCCTTTGGTCCAACTTAAGAGATGGAGCTGAAAAAAGAGGAAAACCTTCAGAGAGCAAAACTCTGGCTCGAACCAAATTACGATTGGCCGCATTGGTTACCGTGGTTTCTCAGATGCATCTCCAACAGGGATAAATAGCAGGGACATAAGAAATGTGTTTTATCTTCAGAGCGCCAGAAGAAATATTTTCTCAATCTCTGTCATCTGTTGTCAATGTTTGTGTTTGTAATCACTTGCAATTTAATTTATTTCTATCCCAAATACCATCTTAAGCTTGATTGGCACAACTGGTAATTTCAGCACATGTCTTCACAGAATTGCCCCTTTGTAACAAATCACCAGAAGACTGTCATCTGTGTCCACTTCTTTGCATATAAGTTGGCAGCTTTACTCTCAAATGATGTCAGACCAGCCTCCTATCTCTGAGGAACAAAACTGTCAGCTTGGTATCTTGTCAGTTCTCTCCTCCTCCATTTTATTTTCCTCTTTCTCTTTCTCTCCCACTCTCATCATACCAAAACATCACTGTAACTCCTACATGTTCAGTCTTTCTGTGTTGAGAAAACAATGTGCTTCAGAATTATACAAAGTGGTGAGGGGAAGGTTTAAGATTTGAAATGAAGTTTTGTTTCAATGATTGGTTTCAGAAATCAAATTTAGGTTCACAATCAAGTCATCTGTGGCATGATGAGAAAACAATATACAACCCACATCTGTCATGTGTTTTACTGGCTATTGAACATTAGCATTGTTGAGCAGAGCGCTAGTGATAGGATCAATAGTGCAAGTCCAATGATGACTTTGTACGATTTCATTATTAACAATATTTAACAATTATTAGTTTGATTAACTGGAAAAACAAGTGGTTGATGCAAATAGGTATGCCATCTTTTTTACATGATTAATCAATAATCGTACAATTAATTGTCAACACTTTACTTTTGAGATTTACTTATTGCCAAAGACAAAAAGGCTAACACAGACTGTTCATGGCTTTTTAAAATGTGAGGTTTTTCGGCCTAACACTATTTGATACCGTTTTAATTTAAATATAGCTGGGATTATAGTCGAGCAGACAAATTGAGTACTGAGAAATTATTATGGTCATTGTTAATGACACATAAATGACTAATCCTATCAACAAAGTTACAGCCTTCAATGCATCTTGGCTTTTAAACTGATTCAGGCAGCAGAGATAAATAATACCGTAAAATACTTATCTGATATTGACAGTGCTCAACAATTCCTGAAGGTTTTATTCTTTAGAAGTGATACGTGATACATCTATTTTTAAATGTAGAGCAAAGTGCTTTTGGATGGAAATAAAAACTGTGGCTTCTCTTGTTGTCTTTTATAGTATTTAATTGGACAGAAGAGCACTGCAGTTGTCTTGAAATGAGTTGTACACTACAATATGCTAGGTACATGTATTATATTTCATAAATGTAATATAGCACAAATTGTTTGAAGAATTACAGCTCTCGTTGGCTATGAACAGTTGATGCGAGTTGATGATAACGGATCAGATACTGTTAGTGAATGTGTCTATTTGGTAGGTGTGTGCACATTGAAGTAACAGAAACACACACATAGACGACATGCACCAATGTGCAGGCTTTCAAAGGGCAACCATCCAAAGAATGAGCTGAAACACTCTACTTCACTCCTCATTGAGTCTCTTAAGCCTCACCTCTATTTTTGTTCCTTTTGCCATGTCCATTTTCTCTCTCCCCCTTCTCTCTCTTTCCCTCTCCCTCCCTGTCTCCCACCCCAATGCTGAACACATTTTCTGTGAGCTCACTTCTACCTTTCAATCTGTAGTTTTGTACCACTTTCGTATCTAAATTCTAGATCCATCTTCCCCTTATGAAAGTCATTAGAAATGATAACCAAGATTTAATTGTGATCTCTCGAAGGTGACATCCCCCGCTCTGCATGAGCAATGTATCACTGTGAATGTGTCATGAGGCCCTGCAAAAATCAATGTCACTACTCAATGGAAACAATCCATTGTTTTGCTAATAATGCGGTTTTCAAATTGATGCAGAGTGGCAAACACAGATAAGACACTGCAGGATCCAATTCAGTGTGAGGCATACGTGGATGAGTTTGTGACTGAAATGATATCTGACAAAAAATGTCTGTACTGGGACAATTCTGTTGTGGCTGTTTTGTAAAGTATGTCAAGATTTTTTTCATTCCCCTAAAATATATTTGTCGTAACAGGTAACACATTCAGGGCGCTGAGCATAAGTGCATTTTTTCTTCTTCTTGGACCATCAAGTATGTTCAGTTTCCATCATTGTCAACTATAAAGATCTCTTAAATATATAAAGTTAATTGTAGTAGGAGGTTCAACTGTTTATTAATACACCTTGTGCTCGACATCATGAGAACAATCTAGTACAACTCAAACTGAAACTGAATATCTAAACACATGCTTGTTTTGATTTTGTCTTACAATCAATCTTCCCTTTCTAAATCAATAAATATAGACAATATTGTCTCATCTTTAGCTTACAATTTAGGTTTTAGCTTTGTTTCACACAAACACTTCCTCACTGCTTATTACCTTTCCCTTTTCTGCGGGAGTAAATTCTATAGTCTACACTAAAGTAATGATAATATGTGTTTTGCCACTTGTTGAGCATAGAAATGCCTTGAAAGCCAGTCAAAAGCAGCAATGTCCCACTGAGTCATGGACATGCCTGGCCTCACCTGTTAACCTAAGCACTGCATATTGCATTATGATAACAGGCAGAGTAGGCAATTGGCATGTAGAAATGGAAACATTGATATCATGTCTACAGGGGAGATAAACCCACAACACAAAAGGCTTGGTGTCAGGTTGGCTGTGACCTAGGGATTGTTCAACATTTGATGAACTATTTTCAAAACTGCTTTAAGAAGTTGAGAAAAAAAATTCTTTACTGGCTATGATAAATGAGCTATGTCGGGCAAGATTGTGCTCATGCCGTTGCATTATAACGGGTTGTTAAGCAATCAATTAAGGCTAATGATAACATTATCTCTCGGAGAGGACTGGCCATAATGGCAGTGATTCATTGGCTGATTATTTTTCCGTTTCAACATTTGGTCTATATCATGTCAGATACTAGTGAAATAAGGACAGTCACGTTTTTCCAGTCTGAGGCAGCTTCTTGAAATGTCTCGTGTTGTCAACCCAAATCACTGAAAACTAAGAAAAACAACAAATTACACATTTGAACAATTTGACAGGCAGTAAAATCTGATTTTTTGGCATTTTGGCTTTTAAATGACTTGATTGATTAGGCAATTATCAAATAGTTTTAGGTCAGTATTGTGCTGATTGAATATTAATCTATTTAGCTCTACAGTCAAAGATACAATTTGTATCTGTTGGGTCAAATGAATCTAAAATAACCACCATCTTGGTATGTTCCACAGTTTTAAGTTTACATAAGTGTTTTTTATGGGGTAAGGTCACCAAGGACTCGCTCCATTAGTTTCAGGGAAACAGTGAGGGAGGATGGAGATGCTTACTGATAAAAAAAAAAATGTTTTTATCATGGCTTCCGTTTGAAAATAGGGTGGAGGAAGGAGGGGTGAGCATATTATTCCAAAACTAGCCGGGTGGGCAGGGGAGTGTGCTACTGAGGTCAGCGTCACAATGTGTGGTACTTCTACAGTGGATAATTAAACCCTTTGAGAGATCTTCCGCTTCTTTTCTCTCTGATATGCATGTACGGTACACAGAAACACAACAAATCCGCTCCAATATAACACAAGCACATTGCAACATTATTCCTTTTCTACTCAATATTAAGAACAAACACTTTATTCACATTTCTCTCACTTATTTTCCTTCCTTTACATAATACTATAGGGACATGTTGAGGATCAGATATTATATCTGGAGTTGTTATAGTAAAAAGCTCCACCTTTTACTTTAAATATTCGATTGTACTCGTGGCTTTGCGATTTGTTTTTGATTGACAACAAATCCAGTGTATAATTTCCCCAAAGCATTCAGTCAGGATTGAGATTAATTACCTACGCTTTCAGGAAGCCATACATTTACAGAGATTTAAAACTTGCAGATAGAAAATCAATCAACCATTTTATCACTTTTTTATGGTTTCTCAAAGTCATATTTTTGGCAAGTGATGATGAAATTGCAAACAGGAGCTGTTAAGAAAATAAGTTCTTGTTCATGCATACATTAAGCTTTGAAATAAAAACCTTTTTAATGCAGGAAATTACCTAATTTGAGGGCCTTTCATTTTTTCAATAATATTCAATAACAATATTTTAAAAAAAATCTGGAGGCAAGTGAAATAAGCAAGGCAGATTGGAGTTTCAATTTTGTATAATATAAATCCAAGCTTCTGTCTTCTTATTTTGGTTCAGATGTCGGCTTATATAATAAAAAAACAAGACATCTTTCTGTTTTCTCTCTTTCTAGAAACACTTTTTGTGACAATGCATCAAAATAGTATTCTGAAAACATGCTGACTTTATGATTGTGTGTTCATGTTTCCAATATAAAGTATACATTGTTGATACATCTGGATCTATAAAAGAAGGTCTGCATAAGTGAGCCCAAGATGCAGTTGTAGATACACTTTAAAGCACAACTCCAGAGAAAAAGCTGAAATGCTTTCTTTCAGCAGAAAGGCACGTTGTTTCTTTTATTTGTTTTTCAGACATTCCCAGGTATCGATTTCACACCTGAGGATAACTTCTCAATTTCTGGCATACCGACCAAAAGAGAAGGGAAAGTCAGGCCTTATTTTGCTGTAGAAAATGTAGCACCTGCTTCCCAGACTAATGGGCACAAATCACTTCTACAACCCGGCTATCTTTTATTCATCCTGCTCACCCACCCACGTACCACAAAACAAAACGTAGCATGAAGCAGGAGACGAATTGGAAAAAGGTAAAACAAAAAGCAGCTGCTCAAAACACGTTCCCCACTAACCTTAATAACCTGCTCATCTGTTGACTTGCACTCCACTGACTCGGTTACATCAGAGACCGCTCCGTCTGTTCCTACGGTAACTACCTTCACCGGCACGGCTACCGTTCGCCCATTGAGGACAGCTGTGTTGAGGATCTCAGTGTCCTGCAGGGGAAAACAGAAATACATCAATCAGTTTTAGCGCTAACAACATAGTGATCCTGGGGACTAGCAAATAACACAAGACGGATTCTGAATTTTGGGATTTGATATCAGTATTGAAGACTTTCTATTTATCTATTTACATTTCACATAACGACACAACATACACTATCATTTATAGGAATCCATAAAATAAGGTTGTGTAAGAATTTTGAACAAGAGAAATTGTTATTTGTGTGATGCCCTGGTTTAGAGACCATTTCTCTCGACGAAAGCTAAGGGGATATTTCCATAGAATTTTTAAGCACTACAGAAATGAAGGTATCTGGCAAACAAACGTTAATTATCCTTAGTTGTCCACCATCCTTAGTTGTTCAACATTTTTGAAATAGCTAAACTGGGGATGACTAGTCTCTAACTAAGACACAGTTTCTAAATAACCTTAGACATCTTCTGCCTGTCTTTAAAGCAATTTACATAATTGAAGGTATATACTGTATAGATTATATTTTGTCGGTAATAAACCTCGAGATAAAGCTCCAAGCTCTTATGGGAAATAAGATTGTATGCTGTCTTGCTAGGATTAAGATAGAATGTAATGATAGAGTGCATTTAGATTTCTCTAGGTCTTATTGAGTTAATAGATTAAAGCAAACTTGGAACTATTTTAAACAACGGATAGCCTCCACCTCTGTAGTTATTTTCAAATAATGTCCTAATAATGGTCATTTGCTAATATTGGTGACATTGCATTAATTATTTATTTATTTAGACCAGGATCTTTTTCACGGCAGCCCTTGCTAAAACAGTCAATACAAAAAACACATAGTTACAGACATAGAACACAAGAGGATTCATGAATTCATGAACAAAAAATTAAGCATAAGGAACCAACATTTCCAAAGGGGATTTCAAAATAAGTATTCTGGTTAAATTACAAGCATTTTAAGGAATCTGCCTTAAATCATTTCAATATGGATCGAAAAAACACTTTACAAGGTAAATTAATTGAGTTTCAATTAATGATCCGAAATATTCCAGGCCTACGATAGAATATACAAATGCTCTTCCAATTCTGCACGGGCACATGAACGTTTTCCTGAGAAAGAAAAGAAGAGTAATGAAGATTGAGAGTGCTATTTGTTTGTTGTTCCGCCGTGAATGTGTCACATTTCAACCTATCATAGCACTTTTCAGAACACTAGTTACAAAGTAAATAGACCCTACACCACAATGGGTAACATTTAACACACTCATTCCAAATGTCCTGAATTAATCACTCAGCGAAGTGCACAATAACAGCATAATAAATACAGAATCACATAGTGTCGGAGCAACAAATTAGAAAAGGCCAATGTGTACTCACAAGCTTTTAGAAGTTTTTCAAAGTAGCACTGACTCAGCTGAGGGGGAGGCTTTTGAATAGTGTCGACCTTAACAGGAACATCTAAATCCCCTTTTGTTTCTGGTCCAAATAACACTTCCCAGAGTTGTGTGCGTGTGTGTGTGTGTGTGTGTGTGTGTGTGTGTGTGTGTGTGTGTGTGTGTGTGTGTGTGTGTGTGTGTGTGTGTGTGTGTGTGTGTGTGTGTGTGTGTGTGTGTGTGTGTGTGTGTGTGTGTGTGTGTGTGTGTGTGTGTGTGTGTGTGTGTGTGTGTGTGTGTGTGTGTGTGTGTAGTCTACTTAAAAAACGTATTCAAACATCTTATTTTTCGAGGTCCAAGACTTCTTGATTCAAGCTTTTGTTTCCATTCCCTTCACATCACATTTACTTTGTAAATGTCTTGAAGGCCAACATGGTGATGAACAGCCATGAACTTATCTATTTACTGCTAAAGCGCTAATGTACTGTGATGACTGTCACTTTGTGCACTTAATAAATGTCAATCTGACACTGTGCCACAATCAAAATGTAACTGTTCATTTACTTATCAATTAATGTTCTACACTGCTAGGAATATATAAACTTTGTTGGTTAGACTAATAAACGAAAAATAACGTGAGCTAACAAATGTTCCTCCTTATGTTGGCGTTTACTACAAATCTTTAAGCATATGCTATAACAATAATACTACTTAATTCAAAGTTGAAATAAAGCACCAGAAATATTATTTTTAATAGATGCATTATCTTCCCTTGTCAAGACCTGGCGCTTACATTACCCAGAATGCCACCCAACCAGTGTGTTATCTCCTATTACAACACTGCTTGCTTGAATACTTGATTCTGATTGGTCAATTAGGACATTACAGATTGTTAATGCTCGCTATCAATTCTGCTAAGCGTCACATGACTGTTGCGATGATGGCTAAACTGTCCGCAGGGGCCATCATTAATGACATCACTGACAGTCCCTGAACATGATCCTTTTCCTTTTAAAAATTATTGAGCCTCAAAAGTATTTTTACACATTTTTTTCACAAATGAAGTAGTACTCCACAAGACCTTTAAACGCATGATGTGTATAATGGTGCAGTTCCCCTTCAATTAAGGATTTGCAGTGAAATAGTATCATTCACAATCATTTTAGTCTTTCATAGCTATTCCCCGGTACTCCTTTCAAGCGGGAAAAAAACACAACTTCAACAATAGTACTTTATGTGAATTTGCAGGCGTCAGAGAGATATCACAAGATACACTTGAGAATTGAAGGCCTTACAGAGAAGCAGGAAGAAGATAATGAGATCAATTAAGACAACGTCTGGTAATCCTTTAGCTGTACAGACGATGTGCTATAACAGTGGATCCTGATCATCACAGCTTAGTTTCTCTGAAAGACTGCTAAGAGGCCGACAACTTTGAAAGGCAAACGAAAACTGATCTCCAGACAGCTCTTTGTTCATCAAAACCGGTGCCTCACTGTTTGATTTGTTTCTTCACCCTCATGCATCCTTCTGAGAAAAAAAATCCATAATTTAAAGCTCCGGTGAAGATTAAGGAATTCTTAGCCAATTAAAAAGAGGTATTTTCTCACTTGTTGCTTTCGCACATTTTCTGTTTTCTGATAGCACTCTCTGACATCTGTTTGGAGGTTATTCCCTCCAGAATGTCAATAGTCCAATCTTAGATACTCTTTGAAGGATTAAAGAAGTAGTCTTTTTTCCCCTCTCTACCCCTATCTACTAAAGCAGTGGTTCTCAAATGGGGGTACGCGGACCCCTAGGGGTACGTTGGAGTACTGCAGGGGGTACGTGAGATTTATTTTTATGTTCATGAAAAAAAAAAAAGGAAATCTAAATCTAACGAAGTTTGAGCAGAGTGGGTTTTATATTAACAGAGTTACACATATTTCAAAACGCGAAGTATAATAACTGCAGTGGCCTTCCTGTCACTGAGAATAACAAAGATCCTCAGTGAAGCACAAGCCCATGTTTCACTATATTGTAAGTACAACTTATTAAAAAGATCAATTCAATGCAACTAATGTCGTCTTAGTGTTATGGCATGATGTTGAACTTGGTTTGCCATGAATTTAGTGATGGATTGTAAACATTTGAAATGTAGCATTTAAGTGTTTCTCAGTTACAATGTTGTTGTTTTAATAAATCAGACACCGATGGTGCAGCACTGTACTGTACCTCTTTATATAGGCATTTCTTCCCTAACAAATTGTTTTTGTGCTGATCAGGGGGTACATTGCTGCATTATTTTTTCAAAGGGGGTACATTATTGAAAAAAGTTTGAGAATCACTGTACTAAAGGTTGCAATTTTCCCAAAGTTGTCACTCCAAAATAACGCCAACACTGGTCACACACCAGACTGTTTAATAAAACTGTCCACATTACGTCTTCTTTGCTCAAGACTTAAAATGAAGACAATGGGTAGGTGGACAATTTGCTACCTTATGTTATCGTGAAAAGGTAAGAAACAATATTGAAACGGAGTAGTTATTTTCCTATTCTTACTCACAATCTCAGAAAGGACTCCAACTTTCTCCAACTGACACGGGCGATGTTATTAGCTGTCGATCATGGCTTTTAGTGAGGCACCTATTCAAGGTTTTTTAAATAAACAATGCCATCCAGTGACAACTTTTCACTGAGGTTTCAAGAAAAATGCTATTTAAACTATACCCTGACAAAATGCAGGTGATCCAACGCCTTACATATTCACATGTTTGAAATGACTGGCAGAATTCATTAGAAAGATCTTCCTCACTGCAAATAGTTTGTCACATCAGACCAATTGGTTACAATGTGGGGATACAAAATGCTAATGCCTGCCCTTTGAGACCTTTTACCAATGCTTATCCCTGTTCCCTTGTGAACAATCAACACCTTTGCTCATAATCGATTGAAAAGAACGAATGTACCATCTCGGGAGACACGTAAGCGCCTATAAAAAGTGTTTTGTGCTCCGTACATCTACGGGTCTCTTCTCACATTATGAGCCATTAACACCAGAACAACAGTATAAAAAAGAGGGGCCTATATAAGCTTTGACATTTATTACGGAGAGCATTTGTGCCATAAAGAGTGTAATATCGAGTGGGCTCTAAGTGGAATTTAGTGTTGTGATTAGTGAGTGATTCATAGGTAAAAAAGGAGTATTTTCTTTCCATGAAATCGGCCCTTCCGACACTTGCCATCTTCTGGCTGCCCAACACACCCCTGGGGTTATATAGGAGTTACATGCATGTTCTATTCATGAAGCCTATTTGTACACAATGCAGATAATCTCTCTCCAAAGGGCTCCATTATTGCCTACACACACATATGCTACATTCACACCAATGGATCATAGGTATAAGCACATATGGCACACACAAACACACCCTTGCTGCCCAGCTCATAAAAAAAGAGTCCTGGCTCCCTGGCACAGCCGCTTATCTTAACAACATCTCATTGCGGTCCAGGGAAGAGAGCACGGAAAAGAGAAGAAAGGCGAGAGAGGGAAGAATCGATAAAAGACCATTACGCTTCTGTGCAACAAGGATAAAAGGAGGGGAGTGTGTGGGGGCTGATATGGTTGCGGATGAATGATGTGTAAGGGAGCAGACAACCT